GCGAAACAAAGCTGTTCCTATTCATATTTGAATGTTCAAGACTTGTGGCCTTTGTAGCCAGTGCAAGTTGAAGTGCGTGTAGCTTCTGGATATCCTGTGGGTTATCAAAATAATTAAAAAATTATGTTGTGTGCTTTCAAACTAAGCTCATCCCGAGTGTAATTCAAGAATGTCTTAGTTCAAGCAATTAAACTTGAAAGTGATATAGCTCCAGCAATGAAGAAGCTTGGATGGAACGTTGAATCAAAGTTACCTATCATTTGTAAATTGTAATGTTAATGCTAAGTGCTGAACGTTACTAATAATTCGAGACATCCGTTGAAAGATGTATGACGCAGATCAACTTTGATCAAGTGAAGAAAATATATTTCAGATGAAATAATGTCAATGTTCAAGGCTGAGCGACTGGCAGATTTCGGAGTGATCACGAGTGGCCTTGAGACATTCTGTTTCTGTAGGTAGGTACTCAAAATAAATAAATTATCATAAGTGTTATCAGTGGTGCTTCATGGTTGTGCTTTGTGGTTGGTGTATGGGCATATTTTGAGCACATTGCAGCATGATATTGGTGGTGTGTAAAGCAACTGATCTCCGCAGACTTTGCACTTACTTGCAAAGCCTGCGGACTGACTTTGCAGACTGGCTGACAATGAGCAATGCATTGCTGACTGATATCATTTATTCTGTGTTTGTAGCACAAAGTACAGAAGTGGCACATACATTGTTACTTTGAAAACCTGATGTGAATTTGATGTAGAAAATTGGTGGCTGACGTTGAGTCCTTACGTATTGTGAGTAGTGAAAAGCTGGTGCATTGAGCACAGACTTGAGACCAGTGACGTTTGTATCAGTAGACTGTGTTTGAGTCTACTTAACTACCCTTATATGGCCTTGGTTTGAGTGTGGTGACCGAGTAAGCTGGTGCGTATAGCCATGCAATAAGTGTTTTGAAATATATTTTTGGGACAGTATTGAAATGGTGTGTTTTGGCAATCTGGCATGGATGATGGAAAGGCACTAACTCAACTTCAGGAACGCTTCTTCATTATGCTCATCTAAGGCACAATCATCTATTTTCTCTTCGCAAGGATTGATTACTAATTCACTGTCAATTATAACCTGGTCCAGAAGGTTTCGCTGGGCCACACGGTTCATACAGATTCATCCACAGTGCTCAGCAGTGCATGTTTTCAGATTTCAACAGACTGTAATTGTTTCTGTATGTACATATGCATCATGCAAGGGTACAACAGATGCGGTATTTGGTAAGCAGTTGGCAGCAAGGTGGTGTTTGTACTTATTGGCAGAACCAGTTGAGCAGGACTAAAACTATCCTAGTTTCTCTCCAATTTACTCAGATCCGTCTCAACACATTGAACATATTGAAAGCGTCCATCCATGAAGATGTCTGCATGTATACTCATTTCCGAGAAGGCACGCTCGTCGCTCATCCATTGCCGAGCAGGCACGTGCGTGCCCATCGCCGGCGCGCATTAGCGCGCGTCCATGGCTGGGGCGCACGCGCGCGGCCATGGCCGGCATGCACGCGCGCGCGCCCATCGTCGGCACGCAAGCGCGCGCGCGTCCATAGCCGGCGCGCGCGCCGCGTCCTTACCCGGCGAGAACGCCGCGTCCGTACCCGGCGCGCACCCGCGCGCGTCCACAGCCGGCACTGACAGACCCTGACCGACGGGCGTGCTGCCGTCGGCGGTCCTGACAGATGGGCGGCGGGCCCGGTTCCCGCAGCTCCGGCAGCGGGCGGCAGCCATGGTCGGCATACACGCGCGCGCGCCCCTCGTCGGTACGCAAGCGCGCGCGCGCGCCCATCGTCGGCACGCAAGCGCGCGCGCGTCCATAGCCGGCGCGCACCCGCGCGCGTCCACTGCCGGCACTGACAGACGGGCGTGCTGCCGTCGGCGGTCCTGACAGATGGGCGGCGGGCCCGGCTCCCGCAGCTCCGGCAGCGGGCGGCAGCTCCGGTGACTGTTCCGGCAGCTCCGGCAGCGAGCGGCGTCTCCGGCAGCGCTCAGCAGCGGCGCCAAGCAGCAGCAGCGGCTGAGCCAACAGGCGGCCGCGGAGGCAAGGCACGCCCCCTCCGCCCCCCCCCTTTGCACATTGTTCGTCCATGGAGATGTCTGCAAGCACGACCATTGTTGAGAAGGCACGTGCATCCATGGCTGAGCACTGAGCAGGCACGTGCGACCCCTTTGCACATTGTTCATCCATACATATCAATATAATTTACCTTATTGATTAGTGTGAGTCTTGCAAAATCTTAAACTCAGAAATACCACAAGGCAGGCTGCCTGGGTGAGTTGCTAATATGAACATAATGAACATTATACATTAGTGCAGTACCTATACATAAGTATCCATGCTGTGTGAAGGACTTGGCCCTCACGTTCATTCGATTGGTGATTGCACATGGTGGCATGTGTACCAATTGTTCTCCCTAACCCTTCTTACAACTTTGACTAGCAAGTAGAAGCTGGCAAAATGCATGGAGCTTACAAAGTATGCTTATATGTAGATAACTGAGGATGATTCTCTCAATTGAAGCATGATCCGCACTCAGCAGCTTCTTCTGTTCTGTTCCACAAACTAAAACTGAAATGACTCAATTTTCCTCAAAATATATTCATTTATCACTCATAAACAACAAAAATATACACTAAGTAGGTACCAGGGCAATAAAAAACATACAAGTTACATATTTTTTTCATGTACCGTCCTTTCACAGCAACAATATGTAGAAACGCACCAAGACGTTCACGGAGAGCCCACCCATAACAAACTATAGTTGAAGCCGGGGCTCTGCTGCAGCAGCAGGGGTGACGTACAGGGCACAGAGGTCATGTCACATCATGTTGTACAACCTGTTTAGAAAAAAAAAAAAACAGATCAACATTGATTTTGAAAAACTGTAGCGCTTTCTTCAGTCACTTAGGTAAGCTTTCTCGCAAGACGTTACATTAGATTCAACACTCTTGACAAAATAATCAGATTGAAACTTAGCTCTTGTGCCTGATGCACTTACATTTCAATTTATTGAAATAAAACACTCAAATTTACCCTTGAAAATTGTTCACATTTAAATGATATTAACATCAAGATTTTGATGATCAGCAAACAAGCTATTCAAATCACACCCATATAATAACTTTGGCAATGTTGATAACTCTTGCTGTCTTATTGAAAAGCAAATCTTCAATTTGTTCATATCCAAATCCAATGCCAAGCACTGAAATCTTGTTGCAAGGCCCTAAAAACAACAGACAAAAACAAAACAGTCTTGCGGAAATCGCCAGTGCGGTGCGGCGGCCTTGGCGAAATTTCCCAAGGCTGCTCTTTGTTTACATTTTAGCGATGGGCCAACTTGGCCGCCCAAGTACTTGTTTTGCGTGAGTAAGTACAATTTTGTCAATTTTGAAACGGCTATATCTCGCAAATTTTGGTACCGATTTACATTTTATGCATATATTTAGAATCGGCAGAGTCTGGGGAGTTCATTGATTGGAAATTTATGCCGATTCCTTTCAATTTTTAAACCCTGATAATCCCTTTAATTTGCCAAGTGTCCATAAAAATGTGACCTGAGCAATGAGCAGACTCCTGACTAGCCTGACAGCTGACCTAGCCTCAATCATCACACATATTTGCAGCCTACCCAAGACCTGCATAGCAGTAGCACCCAGTTATAGGTAGGTACTCACCCTAACTCAATCTTACCTGCTAACCTTCAACTTGCCAAAAGTTAGCTCACATTGCCAAGCTGCATCCAGGGAAACAGTCAACTGAGGAACTGGCTCATTGGGTGGCTGGTGCGAGTCTGTGCATTTAAAGTGTTTCTTCTTTGAAGCTGCTCTGCACTGCTGTATGTCATGTTAGATGCTCAGAAATGTGGGAAATGATTACTTAGCTACTTTAGTGCTTTGTTAATGCTCGAGACATGAACAAGTACAGATCCTGCAGGGTACAGCTATGAGTTAGGTGCTAGGTGAGTATGTTATGTGAATGTGCTGTTCCCTGTTTGACCATAGTAATTAGTAAGTATACAAGCAAGCACAGGGTCACAGTTATATTCAATCTCCACATAAACATACAACAAAAACGGCCATATGGCCTAACTCCGAACACACCCCAGATAACTTAAGCCTTTGCAGGCACAAAAATGTTTTGATAAACAGGACAGGTATACAATATATCCTCTGTCCTTGGGGGATCTTGCTGCCAAGTTGAGGTACGATGACTTAACTTCAGGATTGATCAACCTTTTCTTAGCCACTGCTTATATACGAGAAAGACCAAATGCTTGTTTCTTTGATTTACAGGACATGTATACAATATATCATCTGTCCTTGGGGGATCTTGCTGCCAAGTTGAGGTACGATGACTGAACTTCAGGATTGATCAACCTTTTCTTAGCCAATGCTTATATACGAGAAAGACCAAATGCTTGTTTGTAAACTGCGTTGAAAATTTAATGATCCACCATCAATTCTGACATGAAGGCACAAATGAAATAGTTCCCTCTCCTTTTGGAATACACAAAGCAAAATATTTAATAAATTTTAGTGGATGGACAAGAGCAATTAGCATAGCTTCCCTTCCCCTCAAGTTAACTTCTGGCACTAATGAATTACACTGACGTTTATTCGCTTCATATTTTGTAACAAACGCGCTAAAACTGCAATATAACAGCACTATATACTTCTTGACAAAATGCAATACAAGTAAAAATTTAGCACTGATGGCATTCATTCTTGGTGGAAACGTAATTACAAAATATTTTGTAGTAACTATTAAATTCCGGCTGAAAACAATCCACGGTTTAAAAAAGAATCATTCCAATGACGGTCCATTCTTGCGGTCCTGAAATCGCCACTATTTCCGGCCTCTCCAACGCAACTCGTTGTCCAGACGTAAATATGCTGGACTACCATACAAACAACGGCCATATTAAAGCTGGTTTCTTCTTCTTGCACCAGGTGGCAGCACTTCTTTTCCAAAATCAGTGCTTGTATTTCCAAAATCGTGATTTCCTCGCTGAGGAGTGAAATCGGCTTCATCGTTGCTAAAAATAGCTGATAGCGTTGTCATTTTTAGCACATGGTTGCCAAAAATGGCATGTGCTAAAAATGACAACCATTGACCAAACCTCCCCCAACTGGTGTAGGTAGGTACACTAGGTGTTACTAGGTTGTACCATGGATTAGAGATAACGTTGTACCCAATGAGTCTTCACTCCGCACTGGAAATGGCAAGTCCTTTGGAACCAGTGCACTGTGAGACTGATGTGTCATAATCAGGCATCAGGTAATGTGTAATGACCAATACTTCCATCCATGCAGATTTCTCAATAGAATTTAATTGTGTATATCATTTAAATTCATTGAACAATGAACAAAAAAAAAAAATTCAAATGATTCAAGTAATGAGTGTGCGTTGTGCATGACAAGCCCTTTGGAACCAGTGTGAGACTAATGTGTTATACAATAGGTACCTAACCATAACTACATATGAAATCTACATCCCTGACAAAGGCCAGTAACTGCACACCAAAAGGAACATAGAAATAAGTACCTACCTGCCTATGCTACCCATATGATTGTTGCCAATACGATAAAATTTACCACGTGTGAACCGTGTCATGAATGGACTCCTGGCTCTAGCTGAAGTCGACCTCTTTGCATGTTTTCAGAAAGCATGCCAGTTTTATCATTTCCAGGAAAACTGATGCAGTTACTATTTAGACTGAATGCACATGTTTTGGATGTGCAGTTTTTGCAATTATTATCATTTATTGGATGTAAGCAATGGTATGTTTGAGCATCGTTAGTAATATTATTGTGATGAAAAATGACCTTATGCTAATGATATAATATGATTAAGTTGAATTGAAATAAAACCAACAGAATCATTGTTTCATCAATTTCAATGATTCTATTGGTCTTATTTCAATTCAACTAAATCATATTATATCATGACTATGAGCATAAGGTCATTTTTCATCACAATAATATTATCATTTATATCCGAAAACTAAGGTACCTACACTTTGCCAACATCAGCAATGGTGAAAATTATATAGCAGGAAATATTTCTAAATATGAATACAGTTAAATTCAGACGTACCGAGCACCTTGTTCGGTCTGGCTAATCGTCGCTACGGCTAGCACGACGAACATAAATATATGCCCATTTGTCAACTTCTGAAGGCAAACACCCGTCGGACGACAACGTCCCGCGTACCCACGAACATTGGTCAATGGTCATGGTCAATTTCGTTCCGGCGCCCTCAAAACTACCCAGGGATGCTTGAACAACGTCATCAAAACGTACACCACTATCATCTAGGCTGGGAACACCCATTGTTCTATATCTGTGTAACTCACATCCTGCTCTCCAAATGCGTCACTAATAGCGGGAATTCTCCACCCTCAGGCGATCCGGCGCACCGCCATGTCTCAGCCCACCTTTGGCGGAATGGGCGGCGGCAGCAGTCGCGAGCTCGACTCGTACATCGAGTCGATGCGCTACCCCTTCTGCCACGACGTCACCAAATACGAGACTATGGCCAAGATTGGCCAGGGCACCTTCGGTGAGGTGTTCAAGGCGCGCCTCAAGACGGACCGCTCGCGTATCGTGGCGCTCAAAAAGGTGCTGATGGAGAACGAGAAGGAGGGGTTCCCGATCACGGCGCTGCGCGAGATCCGCATCCTGCAGCTGCTCAAGAACGAGAACGTGGTCTCGCTGCTGGAGATCTGCCGCGGCCAGGCCAAAGCGTCCAACAAGCACCGGTCCACCTTCTACCTGGTGTTCGAGTTCTGCGAGCACGACCTGGCCGGCCTCCTCTCCAACATCAACGTCAAATTCAACCTGGGCGAGATCAAGAAGGTGATGCAGCAGCTGCTGAACGGACTCTACTACATCCACCTCAACAACATTCTGCACAGGGACATGAAGGCGGCCAACGTGCTCATCACCAAGAACGGCGTGCTGAAGCTGGCCGACTTCGGTCTGGCACGCGCCTTCAGCAAGATCTCCGGGACGCGGAACCGCTACACGAACCGGGTGGTGACGCTGTGGTACCGGCCGCCGGAGCTGCTGCTCGGCGAGCGCAACTACGGCCCGCCGGTGGACGTCTGGGGCGCCGGCTGCATCATGGCCGAGATGTGGACGCGCTCGCCCATCATGCAGGGCAGCTCGGAGCAGCACCAGCTGACGCTCATCTCGCAGCTGTGCGGCTCCATCTGCCCCGAGGTGTGGCCGGGCGTGGACGAGCTCGACCTCTACAACAAGCTGCAGCTCTCCAAACAGCAGAAACGTCGCGTCAAGGAGCGCCTGAAGCCGTACGTGCGCGACGCGTACGCGTGCAACCTCCTCGACAGGATGCTGACGCTCGACCCGGCCAAGCGGATCGACGCGGATACGGCGCTGAACCACGACTTTTTCTGGACGGACCCGATGCCGACTGAGCTGGGCCGCATGCTGGAGCAGCACAAACAGAGCATGTTTGAGTTCCTGGCACCGCCGCGGCGGGGTATGCCGGCTCGGCCGGCCGTGCAGCCGCCGCAGCAGCAGCGCGCTGTGGTGGACAACATCTCCAGCTACCAGGACCGCGTCTTCTGAGCCGGGTTAGCGGACAGGGGTGCCCGAGCTGTAGTCTCCTAATCGGGGGTCAGTCTGTGACAGCCGAGGCTGCCCATTGTGTTCATTGTCGCTCAAATCTCACCATGGCTTGTGATTTCATCACTCCACATCAAGCATGTATCATTTATTTTTGCACATTCACCCTCATTTTTAGAACGCATTTAGTGTTAGTAAAATATTGTTGGTAGACCGTTTTACCCAATGCGTATTTTGCTGGTGTGAGCAAAGCATTATTGCTAATCACTCATAGACTAGTGTGCTGTTTCATCAAGACGTATCTTTGTACTGGAGTTGCGATGTAACGATATTGATCTCGTTTGTACTCGCCCAGAATGCCTCAATCACATGAAGATGTGTGTGACTGTAGCTTTTGTGATTAGCGTGCGTAGATAGAACATGTTTAATAGAGGATATAGCATACAGAGGATAGAGCATTGTGTTGGCGCCTTCTATCCCCGCCAGGCTTCTATCAGCTGCGAGGCTGAGATTCTGATCTCTAGTTACACCTTCTTCATGAGGTGAGTAGCAGCGTAGAGTCAGCGCAGGCGGGGACTGGTGAGCGAACTTCGCACAGACAATCGTGTAATGATCTCGCGCATGTACCGAGGACCGGGTGCATTGCCAACGTTTACCATTGGGTTGTGTCGTTTTGTGACGGTTTTCTACTCGCACTGCGTTGTTGCCAAACGAAACGGCATCGTCAAACTTGTGATCTCACCGATTGGTGTTTTGTAATGTTTTGTAACACAGATGTACAACGTGCATGCCATGTGATGGAAAGGAGTGTGGAAAAGTGCACAATAAAATATGTAAAAATCGCACGGCTTTTTGCCTAATGTGACTGGATAGTACGTAAGATTTAGGAAAGATGAGAAATGAACGGCAACGGCGAGCTCGGTGAGGATAAAGGAGACACATGGGGTGGACTGGACAGTCTGACAACTCGCCAGAGCGGAGGTAGTAAAGAATGTCCGTCGGCACACAAGAGTGGACAGTGGAATAATACCGACATCGACGAACTGCACATAGGACGCATCCAGCACTTAGCACGCCATAAGCAGCACTAAAACGTTCTAATCTATGCATTCAATGGCATGTCAACCTCGCCGTTATCTATGTTCTCTTCCCGATATCCCCTGCACCACTATAAGAGCACCAAACGCACCACGGAGACCATTTGAGTAGGCAGGGTCACGTTTTGTTAAAGGTATCAGTCTGAAACCCCGTATACCCCGGGAGTCCCTCCGCTCGGACAGAGCTGGGCCACGTACCGATTTGTCGGCGGTGCGCGGCCGGCCACCGGCACCCGCACCGGCGCCGGCGCCGCCTTCCGGCTGGCGACTGATGTAGGTGTCAATCAGGTCGTGCAGGAAGAAAAAGTTCTCCGCGTCCGTCGTCACGAAGATGTGGTCCTCAAACTCGGTGACGAAACTGCACACAACCACCGGTTTGGGAGCTGCAGAAAAGACGAAAAAGGGAACGAAGTTATGGTAATGCCATGAAACTAGAAACTAGAAGCAGCCTACAAATATAACCGAATAATTCAATCTAAGACAGGTTTGATGAATCGTACAAAAAGCACAGAAAAGAACATTTAATAGCCCTATAGCATATCGCTCTCAGGCTCAAGTCTTAGCGTTACGCTGACAAAGCGGATTCGCCATTCGCATGGCTTTAGCTCGAAGATAGCCAGAAACTCATCTGGAGTAATTCAATCGGAACACAGCCTCTTTACAGATACAATCTCCCAAAACATTATAGTGCGGCGCACCTGACTGTATCCCACAATGTACCAGATTCATCCCTACATGCCGCCCCAAACCGATCAAATCCAGCCCAAAACGCTACTGACGTACCGGTCATATCCGGCTCTGCGCCGCTCTGCGTATGCTCCGTCTTCAGGTGCATCTGCATGGGCGGCAGGGCGAACACGATCTCGGCCGTGTGGTTGTGGTCATGCAGCCGAAGCGGCTGCGGCGGTGGGCTGGCCTGGCCGCGCGACTGGCGCCGCTCCCCGCTGCCGGCGCCGTCCCAGTGCGGCCGCTCCAGGCTCGGGAAGCGCTCCACCTCGTCCAGCTCGCTGGTGCTGAACGTGTAGTGGAACCACTCCTGGATGGTGGGGAAGGCAGAGCGGTCAGAGAATAGTGGGCGGCAGTGGGACGTGCAGTCTACAGAGCGACCCAGGGAGTGAAAGAATGGTGAGGTTATAATTGCATACTATCACAAATAGTGATGCTCATCTAGTTAGTCTTTGCCTCCATCATCACCACACTGCCAATGCAAACACCATCATCGTAAAACCTTCTCTTTCACATAAATTATGCCTATCAACATCTTAGTTTTAAACAGCACCCATTTCGACTCCTGTCCCTTGAAGCTCCGTCACTCTCCCTTCCCACCTTCCGCCTCGTCCCGCTCCCCGTCCCCGTACCTGCATGGTGCGGAACTGCGGCGGGAACAGGATGGTTCGAGTGACGCGCGTCACCGTGGCCATACTGACGTGCCGGGCCGTCGGCTGATGTGACAGCAGGCCCAGACTGATGGACAGCGTCTCCACCACGTGCACGTCAGGAGGCGCTGAATGTGTGGGGGGGGGGAGGGAGAGAGGTGATGTTAGAGTCAGGTGTGTGTGGGGGGGGGGGGGGGAGGGTACGCATAACACATAACTTAATGTAAACAACACAGCTGGTGGTGGAACCATTCGACTCAGAATACGTTATCACGATACGAAGACATACATGAACCCGCCCGATACGACATTATTAAGCACTGCTATTCACGGGACGTTCCACTGAATCGAACCCAGATTTGTAGATGCCTGTCCCGTAGCTCAGTTGGTAGAGCATCGGACTCCCGGTAGTGAGAGCCCGGGTTCGAGACGCTCCGGCGCTCGATATTTGAGACTCCTGACGGGGATGGTCTGCGGTTGGTGGGAGCAGCCGCAGCCAGTTGAAGTCAGTTGAGTGGGACAGGCCGTGTCCGGCTTTGAAGGGCACGTTAAACTTTGGCATCTAAATTCTCCCGTTACCCGGAATTGCGCGATCGGACGGTAGGGGTAGGGGTCTACGCAACAAGCTCTGCTTAGCGTGGGCTCCGGCTCTGTCAATCCGTCCATTCAAACATTCGAGCTAAATTTATAAAAAAAGTAGAAAGCTATACATTAAAACAGCAAATTAAAGTACGTTTTTTCAGTCCTTCTGATCATAATTCTAAGAAATTAAATACCAGTCCATGATATCGAATGAAAATTTTAAAAAACGACCGACAAATTAAGAATATAATCGACCATCCATATATCCTACCGGGGGCTACTTCGAAGTCAGTTATGTCACTCTTCCAAGTTCCAACCACCACCGCCCCACTCACCTCCCGTCTCGATCTCCTGGCTCTCAGTCGAGAAGTTGATGCTCGGCTCTCGCAGACTGAACAGCGCCCAGCTCTTGGACTTGAAGTTGAGCCCGTGGAAGCAGGCCAATGAGATGGTCTGTCCACGCATGTCGATTGTACCGCCCAGTACGGTGCCGGACGGCGGCAGGCGGGTGGTGAAGGTCTTCAGTTTGAGAGCGGCCACCATTCGCAGCGCCTGGTGCCAGTGCCGGTGGTGACGCGTGTCGCTCTGCTGCTGGGCCGTCTCCTGGAGCACTGCGGGACATACAGTTGGGGAAGGAGATGAAGGGTGTGAGGAGGCTAAGTGGATATAGCAATTAGCAAGCCAGTGGGAGACTAGACAGCAAATTTATAATTACAGCGAAAGTATAAAAATGGGCGTTCTGGCATCTCGAAGAATGTCGAAGGAGTGAAAACAGAGAAGCTCATAAACTCATAAGCCTCGCAGAAAATATGGGCTTGACTCGGTCGCATTTAAAACACGAATGTCTTCAGGAAACCCAGCGTTGGACCCAGTAGGCCGTTTAATTTAGACCCATCACTGTAAATCCCCCGGCCCACCTTCTGTGAGTCTGCGCTGTTTTCCGGTGCGTCCGCGCAGGCTGGACGATTTGCCCGAGCTGGGCCGCTCGTTCAGTCCGATCAGGACGCGCCGCGAGCTCTGGAACTGCTGCAGGAAGAATTCCTCCAGCTTGCTGTACATCTTGATCAGGTCGGTGGTGGTTGACTTGGAGATCATCAGTTGGAGCTGGTCCCACGACACCTCGCAGTGGATGAAAATCATTGCCGGCCTGGTGAGCGGGACGGGGGAGAAACAGGTCAGAAGGCGTCTTTCGGTTTTCAGATAGAAGAAATGTGCATAGTGAAATTGATGAGGTAGAAGACGACAGAGTAAAAAATGACTAAAGAAATAACAAAATGTAGAAAATATCTCCCATTATTCTGATGACGAAACGAAGACAAGGACGAGATAACGAAGGCAAAACAAAATGTTGAAGAAAGGAGAGAAGAAAAATGGCTCCCAACTAAACCTCCACAACCCCTTCCGTTTGGAGAATCCCGAAGCTCGCGCGATCGTCTACTCTAACCGTTTGGTGGCGTCCTCCTGAAGAGCGTCCATCTGCGGCGTGATCCTCCACTCGTCCCGGAGAGTGGCGTCCAGCGCTGACACACGGCCCATCAGCACCGAGGTGCCCATGTAGTCGAGGCGCAGCTCGACCGTCTGCAGCTTCAGGCCCACCGTGTGGCTTGGCTCGACTCCAGGGTCCTCGAGAATGTGCACTGAGGGAGGGGAGAGGTTGTAAGGGTTGCAGTGGCAGCGGAGTAGGGGTGGAGCCGGAGGTGGAGAAGTCAGGCAGGATGTGATGCTTAATATAAGTTTGAACATGATGGTGGTGATCGGCGTTCATTCGACAAAAACTATCTTTCATAATTTATATATGCTTTACTATACTTGGAGCCAATCTGCGTCAACAACTAAGAGGTGCACAGACACATGCGACATCATCCAGCGTCCTCTCTAGTCTCTACCCATCAACCCAACCAAAGCCCCACGTCCCGCTCCTGACTCACGGTAGGTGTCGATCTTGCCGACCTCAACGTTGCCACCCACTATGCCACTCTTGGCCTCGAGCGAGGAGCCCCCGAGGCCGAGCGAGATGAACATGTTCTTGTGGCCGGTGCTTCCGATAGACAGCCGGCCCTCGGACGTGAAACCGTTCGTCTGCCAACTGTGTGTCGAGAGGAGCGGGATGGTGAGTCAGATAGGGACGTTGATAGCTCTCGACACAGGATATTCAACTGACTGAAGGCGGAAATGCATCCTCACAAGGTAGGTGCATTGAGTCTGCCAGAGGATTACTGGCCACAGCGAATTTGTACTCTTCGGGTAACTTCACTTCAGCTTCACGTTCAAAAGGCAAGGATAGACGAAAATATTGTCAAGCACGTTCTACCTTCCTTGACTCCAACGCATCTACACAATTCCTTACGTCATACATCCAAAATACAACAGAGCTCAGTTCTTGTACAGGGTGGAAAGTAATTACGCGAACATGTATTTTCTTACAATTTTGACCGTCAGTGGAGCATTTTTATGAGTACGGGCTGTCATGGAACATAATTGGTCGTGTTTGTTGTCGCCTCATCTACCAAAAGTGACCTAACTTTGAACAATGACCTGGAAGGTCTTAAACACCTCTCGACTTAAAATGGTGCAGACACCATACGCTGCACAAGACCGAAATGGGCAAAGAGCTCAATTTGGAGCAGCTGCCAGGGAAAGCGTTTGTGATTATTTTCGCTGGACTGGCGGAGAAGGGATTCGTAGCGGTCTCAGCACCAGCATTGCACGATTATACGTTTTTTTTTTAACATAATAACACTTGAGAGGACTTAAAAAGCAAAGCCGTCCGCGGCAGCAGCCCCTCGGCGAATTCTGTCGCCGGGCGGGTGGTCACCATGTCGGCGACAAAACGACGCCAGTCGACCCGAAAACTGGCAAAATAGCTTACTCTGGCCGGGTACCCGATCTAGGATATCACGATTCGCACATTAATACGCAAAAAATTCGAAAATTAAGTCGTACAAACCCTCGGGATGACCAAAATTCACGAATTAACAGCAGAATTGTTAATTGAAGCTTTTCAAAGACAATCAAAGATGGACAGAGGAGGACAGGCAGCTGGATTTGTGGTTGGGTGAGACATCTGTGAAACTGTTTCATCCGTCAAACCTGCAGAACAACTGCTCTGAGGGCTGCTGTTGCGTCCTATGTCCCGTCCGTCCCAACCTTCAAACATCCGGCAAAGGAACACATCAGTGGGTCACGAGCCCCCGGGTGGTGTCAGAATTGCGTGTAGCGCTAAAAAAGGTCACTAAAAATAAAGTATACAACCGGTGGAACATCCTCCTAGACGAGTGTCTCTGTCTAATCCACCGTGCAACGAAAGGGGCAAAATGACTGAGCGCACTTTTGTGCCTGACGCAAAGAAACTGCTCTTCGTGATTGGTGAAATCCTTACTTTCACGGCCAACAAAACGCAATACTGGTGCTGTGAGAACCTGTTTTTCTTCAGGACATACAAAAGCTGATCTGGGAAACGCCTGGGCCTCAATTCGATTAAAAATCTCCAGATGACTCCTCAGGAGACCGTCTAAAAGCTGCAAGGAGCCACCAATACCAATTACCTCACTGGACAGCTCCATAAGGTGTGGGCTGAGCTTTAGCCAACAGATCTTCACATGCTGATGTAAATCATGCCGGAACGCCTATGTCAATGCATCGCAACTAGATAAGGATAAAGTAAAACATATATTGTTTATGTCACCGCCGTTTTTTTCATTACTAGAAGACGAAAAAGTATGTTCGCGTAATTACTTTCCACCCTGTATGTACAGCCCTCAGCAGACTGCGTGGTAGGTATTCTTTTTTCGACAAAACCGATAATAGCTCAAAGGCTATGCTATCAGTCGGTCGGAACTCACTGCAAATAGATGCGCCATGCTCTACTCCTTCGAATGGGTTTATCACTAAACAAGGTATACGCCTTGTTTGACAACAAAATGCAAAAGTTTGTATTGGGGGCAAATATAAACTTTTGGGTTTTGTTGCCAAACTGGATGGAAAATGAACACGATGATTATGCAAATCTAAGGTGCGGAGTCTCGCGCGTCTTGCTGTTACGATTTTTAAGTGACCGATAGCATAGTATTCGCGTTATTCTCGGTTTTGTCGAAAAAAGAATACCTACCACGCAGTTTGCAGAGGGCTGTACGTTATTATTTCGTCACTCGGAGTACCCAAACTCTTAACTCACGTGACGTTTCCCATGACGTTGCCCATGTTCATGTGGACGTTGAGCTTGGTGAAGTTGACGGCGAACAGGACGAGTGTCTCCCAGGAGGAGGAGACCACGGCGCCGCCGGCCTGGGGTGTTGGAGGCACCGGGTCCAGACTCAGCCGACGCTGCAGCACTGTGGGTTAGGCGGGGGTAAGGGTTGCAGGGTAAGCCGATACAGAAGGACGTACTCTGGTACTGAATAATGTGGCTATTTCCGTTTACAAACTTGGCCTTGAAGTCTTGACATGTTGTTTTGGGATGGTAAGCAGAGCTGCGCATGAGACAAGCTCCAAAGATGGCCTTATTTGAGTTGAAGAACTCCCTAAATTTATCAAAATACAAATAAGTGCAATCACTAAATCATGACGTCCATTTTGAATCATACGAGCCTTTCCTTCAGACTCAAACTATTAGCCGAATCACAAAATCAAGCTGCTGCGGTACTACTAGCCCGCAGCACGACTCACCGTGTAGTTTGCTGGGTCTGGGCCGGACCTCGGCGCCGCTGGGTGAGCGGGCGGCCGCCGAGCCCTGGGCGGGGGCGGGGGCGGCAGGGGAGGAGGCCGAGCCGCCGCCGCCGCCGCCGGCCGCGGGAGGTTTGTCGGGCGAGTGTGACCGGTCCGACTCGGCCGGGATCGTCGTGTCACCCAGGTCACCTGTGGCGGCATGGAGTGGCGGCGGTCAGACGGCAGGGGTGGAAGATACACAGTCTGGTAGTAAGTGGTTACACATTACACAATGCAGATATCAAGTACCTTAGATCCCAAACCAGCGACAACATGCAAACATACTTTTTGACAGCATTATCAGGCTGCTAGCCTGCACTGGAATATTATGTAGCAACAGCGACAATTTATTTTCAGAAATGTCAAAACGCTCCCGCTAGTACCAACAATATGAGTCGAATAAACGGAACAGGTTTTCATTATTCATACGAACTAAGCAGACACGCTCACGACTGCGCCAAAAACCGCCTGGTTTACCAAAGGTGATCAATGATCAGTGATCGCTCTCCCACACCATCACTGACCGAGGAACATCCTGCGGACGATGGTGCGTCGGTACCAGGCCTTGGGGAAGGCCAGGATCTCGGTCAGACGGCGCATGTCGTACTTGAACGACGCTGAGCCCAGGTCGATCACGGCTGCGAACAGGCAAAGCGTGGTCAAAGCGGGTGGTCAAATTAACTAGGCGCCTAAATTTATTTCGGCGGTGTGGCAACAACTGATGAATCTGAATAGCAAAAATGAAGCACAAAGAATCTCAAGTCCTATGTTACATACAACAAATATGTGGAACGTGTTTGGAGTAGTTACGATTTTGACTGCATGGCTACGAATGACCATCATCATCAAAAGCATCACCATCCACCAAACAGGCAAAGTGGAACTCACTGGAGAATCTCACAATCGCCTTGCTGGAGTCGGCGCCGCCGCTCTCCATGTCCAGTTTCCTGGATCGCGACAGGATGAACTGGACAAACTCCACCTTGACGCTGAGCGAGTCCTTGCGGTCTGTGTCGTTGAGCGGACTGGTCACGTGGTCCTTTCCCGAGTACTTGTTGCCGTACGGGTGGAACACGTATAGGGAGAAGTCGGCCAGGACGCCGGTCACGCTCAGGCCGCCGGCTGGGGTCTCCGTCTGGCCCGACTCGCGGGCGGTGCGGGAGCCGGTCCGGCGCCGAGCGGACGGCGGCGGAGGGGCCGGCGTCGCCGGCGGCTGCTCCCTGTGGTGGGGAGAGAATATGGCGTGAGGCGAACTGTCATGAGGAGACGCCAAAGAAACGCTCTTGTCATGGCATGAAGATTAAAACTACAACAAAAAATAATTAACAGGGAAACCATCAGAAGAACAAATCACCTGCTTTTCTACACAGAGCTAAAGAAGACTACCATATCGCCGTCCGGTTATTCACAAATGAATTAGATTCCCATGTTAAAAGAACCAATCCACCGTTGCGATTGAAAACATCCAGCGTTGATCCTCGCATCCCACTTACATCAGCTCTAGGTCGGAGCGTTTCGACGAGAACACCAGGTCGAGGCTGGGCAGTCGCAGCAGACACTCCACTTTGGAGACGGGCAGACACGAGAAGCGGAACGTGGACGGCTGCATGTGGAAGAAGACGATGACGTCCACGGGGAAGGAGCCGGCCGAGCTGCCCGGCGCCCCGGCCAACGGGTCCTCGGTCGTGTCCTCTGCAAAGAGCATAGGGCGTCAGCACGAGCGAAATTCCTACCAGATAATCCAAAATAAGAAATCAATTGGTCATTCGAGAAAGCAGAACATGCTCAAATAAAATATCCGCTTGTCGAACTTTAATCCTTCGCTACATCGGACAGCATAACAATAATCCAATTGGGATTTGGGGAGGTATCTAACACATTTTGTTGGCCGGACAGACACAGCTGATGACAACCAGAGGATGCAAGAATGCAATGCTACCAAACAGACATTTTCCTTCCATATCAGCCCCGTCCCTCCGCATGCGTCTCGCTCCGTCACTCACCCTCCGGCGAGGGCGGTGGCAGGCTCAGACCCCGCGTCATCGGCAGCAACTCGAACAGCTGGTCCAGGAAGTCGAGTATGTGCGGCGACACAACCGTCTCGGTCGGGATGCTCTGCAGGGTCACCCACACGAACAGACTGGCCCGTTTGGAGAGCGGCGGCCGGCGGCCCGAGCCGCCTATCGAGCCCATTCCTGAGCCGGCGCTGGAGCTGCGCTCGAAGCTCGGCGTCGTGCCGCTCCGCTCCAGGCCCGGGGTACGGCCGCGGCCGGCCGGCGGGCTCGGGCCGTAGCCGGGCGTGCCGGAGCCGTAGCCGGAGGTAGCCGAGCCGTGTCCGGGGCCGGGGCTGTAGCCGGGGCCTGGTGTAGAGCTGGCGCTGGGCATCAGGCCCGGACTGAGCCCCGGGCCGCTGCGAGGGGACTCCGGAGTCGGTGGGACGAACGCCGCCGAGCGCTGGGACGGCGCCTCGTTCACCATTTTGGAGTCGTAGTGAAGCTGGCGGAGAGAAAAGACTGTCAACACCACCCTTCATCATCAGACGTAGGACACTTCAACAGGTCGATTCGAGCCATCACTAGTCATCAAAACGAACGAACATCACTAGACGCTGATTGCACATTTCAACAAGGCGATTCGAGCTGTTACCAATCGTCATTCAAGACGATCGCAGCTCGGCCACTCTCTCTTGAACTACGCAGCCACCGACATCGGTCCGGCTGTTGTACTCACCTTGACGTCGAGTCCCGGTATGTGGAAGATGGTTAGGTCGACGATGGAGGCCGAGAGCGTGGTGCCGGCCTTCTTCAGTCGCGTCTGTGAGCTACTGTGGAGCATGGCACCGCGCCGACGGGACGACGACGGCGTGCTCTCGTCCGAGAAGCCAGAGTGCTGCCGACCGCGCCTGGACAAGACGAGGAGGGCGGTCAGTTCTCAGGGACCGATAAAAATGTACAAAATAGATAGAAACAAAATAGGGGAAAAGAGAATCAACAAAATATCGCGCTTCCTTTTGCTGGTTGGGCTTCCCGGGCACACAGGCCAATAATTATGTATTGTATATAAGTTCACGACCACCCGCCGGACCACGCATTAAGCCTCCAATGCTATACCGTTTCCCGTTATGGCCGCGGCTCTCGTTCGTACTGATCCCTTACCGTTTGTACTGATCCCTGTTGAGCTGGTCGTCCGTGTCGGTCCTCAGATGCGCCGGGTCGCGGGTATGCAGCGCGCACTGTCCCGAGCTGACAAACACCTTCACGTCCAGCTCAAAGTGGATGTTGGGCTCGACCGGCGCCTGTTTGGGTGTGGTCGGAGAGGCGAGACCGGGCGGCGGAGGCCGGCGCAGCTCAACGCCGTCCAGCTCACTGGGAAGGAAAAATGGTGATGGTTACGTGAGAGTTGTGGGAAGGGGAGAGAACACTGGAATATCCAGCTACAATCTGGAATATCTTTTACACCTACTAGCAAAGAAAGATCGCACGGGCATGACCAACGTTTGACAATGATAGCGCAACATTAACATCAAACCCGCTTGGCACGATTTAGATGAAAGGTGAGACAATTCCATAACATATCACGAATCATCTAAAAGCTCTCACTACACAGAGAGTGACAAAATAAGAGCCACACCACCCTCCCCTATCACTCAGCCTTATAATTGCAGGCATCCCTACCCTCGGCTCTTGCCGCGCCGTCACTGACCTGGCGCTGAGCGGGACGCTGTTGACCTCGACCCCGACTCTCCCTCCATCTGAGCCGTGGGCCGCTGATTGGGACGGTCCGTCCACACTATCTGTGGAGCGCTGCGGCCGGCGGCTCCACGGGCCCGGCTGGACCGGCTCGTCCGACTCGTCAATGGAGGCGTGACGGCTGAAAGGGATAGGTCACGGGTCAGAAGGGGGCGGAGTGACGACAGGGGAAAGAGAAAGAGGTGGGCGAGCCGGAGGGAGAAACGGGCGAGTCTCCAGAAGAAAGGCGGGAGAGGCGGAGGATATGAGTGCTGAACAGAGAAATGGGGTAGGGTAGTGGAAGGGGGACATATGTGAATTTTGCTGAACATGGTGTACCCAGTTCAGAAAGACGGCTTTATCGGTCGGGACTTTGATTACTACTAGCCAACTGACAAGGAATGTTGTTATTAACGCGCACTATCTATTTGTTATTTTACGAGCTTGTGGTGTAAGTAAAGTCACCCTCTAGCATGAGAAGCAGGGTAGTTTACGAACAATAAATTAAACATTCAACACATCTGTATAGTAAAGCCGGTAAATCAGGTCACTCAAACGAATTACAGTATGAAGGTAAATTGGGGTTCCAATAAAAAAATATACGAACAATTGAACAGCCATCACGGGCGACGACGAAAAAAAAAAAACAGCAAATGAACACACGAAAACAATTAAGCCTGTGTGACATAAAAAAGAAGAAACGAGCATGTGCCAGGACTGCCAGCGATGGTTCACGCCAACCACGGGAAAGTTATGGCAAGCCAAATGCTAGCAAACCCAGCAGACCCGCTGCAAGATGGGTCGCGGTTGTAAGTGACGCCATGTTGGACACCCGGCATGCAGCATGCTTTTGGTAAATGTTCTTAGGCTTGGTATGAGGGCCATGCTGTGGACTAAGGATATTCTAACTCTAAGGCTACATGTGTAAATGTACTTCGTACTAAAATGCGAGTCTATGTGTAGATACACGCTTGCTTATCAACAAAGTAGGAATGAAACGAAAATGTGTTTCGCGATCCGCAGCAGCAAATAGCTAATTACATAAAAAATACTGTTCCACTAACGAGAGAAAAAGGAAAACAAGAGGTCAAGCAGTCTCAATCACATGTTTTCCTGAGCAATAACAGAGCATTACTTCCTCCCTCCTCCCACCAATGTGCACATCTGTCTAGTGACTACTACACTGAAATCCGTCCAACTACTGTCAGCTCTGGGCCGTTCGCGGCGATCCGGCGTCGTCTGACCTCAGCAGGATCTGGGTGTCGCTGAAGGTGACGCGGGCTGGCGGCGAGCCCGAGTCCTCCTCACCCAGCTCCGGCACCATGCTCTCCTCGCTAGGACAACACGGCCGCGCGGAGAGGTTAGTGGGGTGACGGCGGCGGTGGTACCCGTGTGGGAGGCGGGGACGGTGCGCCGGCGACAGCGAGCTCTCTCAATTTAAGTTGGGGATGTATTCACCGCACACCTTGGATACACTAAAGAAAGCAATGACGTCTGCTGTTTGACTGAAATCCGAATAGTTTTTTATATATTAAAATATACCAGAGACCGATTTACATATTAGGTAATCAGGGAACCAAATAATCCGATCAGTAGAGAAACTTTCTGGCCAGAGGAGAATAATGTTCTGAATCATTCCGTCGTTCCTAACGCTGGCGCACCGTTCCCGCTCGGCCCTTCACGACGTAAGCAGACTGGACGAGGGACACTGCAGGCACGTTAGTAACCCAATAAGTGCCAGAGCCAAACCCCAAACCCGTCAGAGTGCGACCAATGAGTGACAGCGTGACGGACGACAAGCAGCAATAGCCCCTCGGGCAGCCAGACGTCACCGGCCCCCAAATTGGTGAGATGTTATGCTAGGACAGCACGCAGTAAATATCGCAAAGGGCATGTTAAAGCAAACGACACTTAGGATAAAAAGACGATAAGACAACCGGCAATGAGAGTCAGGAAATCCAAAATTGAAGCACAAGTCACGCAAAAATTGTAATAAGAAATTTGGGTCTGATCAGTTTGTTAGAATAGGACAGAACACCAGTGCATACTTACCCAGAACGGTCTTGCGCCATTAGTTAAATCCAAGACAGCAGACTTCCAATCGTGACTAAATAGATAAATAGCTACCAAATAAATACCAAATAAATAGCTAGGTATTAGGTATTCCATAGGAACCACTAAGCACCCTAATCCTTCCTGCCGTGACGTGACATCCCAGCCTTATAAAAAGCATCCCTCCCCAGCCACCCGCATCCCCTTCCTCCGCCGCACCTGCTGGCCAGGTCGGCGGTCCCCGGCCGCCGCTCTCCGGGCAGTTGCATGGAGCGGGCCGCGCGCCGGCCGTGCGTCGAACGACTTCGGCTGGCGGCTACCGGAGGCGCAGAGCTGCCCAGAGACAGCTTATTGCCGACCGTGCCGGCGCGGATACTCTGGCGTCGCAGCCGCTTCATCATGTCACGACGGAAGTCCTGAAAACGACGGGAAGGAGAGCTTAGAGGATCGCAACGCGCAGTTAGTCACATAATTATGCACATTATGAACTACACCCAGCCCTGTTACCAAAGAGCAGTGCGCCCACAGACAAAACAGTAATATCGTCGGACGATATTCGGGATCGTACCTTGAAAACGACCGACTCGAACGCTTCCAGTTTGCGCGTTTCCTCTTCCAGAACCTTCCTGGAGGCGCCGTGTAGCATCAGCTCGTGCACCACCTGACGGGAGAGATCATTTGAAAGATACAGCGACACATTGAATCAAGAATCAAGGTTGTTTGGGCTCTAGAAGAAGACATAGATGTCTGTATGTTGTAGCCCACTTCCTTTTTAAATCACATGTTCTTCTGTGTCAGTTCCATTTCACTTGGGCCAATCTTGTCTGCCTGCTCGATGTTTTGGTCACTGGACGTCGAGGATACGGGGGAAAGAGGAAGGCTGCGCTTGACCGAACAACATTAGGCACAGGCTTATAGAATGCTCGGTAAAGTTACCCACATAAGATTATTGAAATCACGCTAGGCGAAGACCGACAATTTAACCCGCGCCGGACCGGTGCTCTGAGATTCCGCGCCGGGCCGGGGGGGGGGGGGTGTCTGAACACCCCCCCCTTCTAACTCGGCTCCTGGGCCACGTAGCGACACGCGGTAAGCGGCAATCGAAAGAACGTCCAAAATAAGGACGAAAACACCAGCCATTTTTTGGGTCAGGTCAAAGGTCAGGTCACCAGAGGTCACCGAAGGTAAAATGTTGACTATTTCAACATTTTGGAAACTGCCAGCGACTATCTCGGGAACCGATAGAGCTACAGCGCCACGGAAAAGCGCATTCGATAGCCCTTTTACAGCCCTTTCTGAGTAATGTTCTCAGATTTGACCTCAGGTCAACGGTTTAGCCTCCAGAGGGCAAAAACTCCAAAAATAGCCGTTTTTACGAAAAGCGTTTTTTCGGCAATAACTTTTGACTCAAAAGAGCTATGACATTACTTTTGCCAGCATCGTGTTCCTCTTGTCGAGGCGCGTCGAATGAACTATAATTTGACCTTGAAAGGTCAACTTGAAAATTTGACCTCAGGTCAAGGTCATGACCTGACCGAAAAAGGTCATGTTGCATATCAGTCGATCCGCAACGTCGAGCCGAACACATCTAAGGCGTTTTCAGCGCTCTAGCACGCCTCTATAAGAAATTATTAGCGAAAAACTGTTAGATTCTGTTCGTGAGCTGAGATGACCTCGGGGACATAACCAGGGGACACAGTTACCATTTTCCGGTTCAGTGTGTCAATTTTACCTACATCTCGATGTTTGAGAGTGTCTAGAATATCGTTCGTACAAAACAGACGCTTTTCAATTTTCTCCCATTGACTTATAATGGAGAGGTCGCAAAATTGACCTGACCTTAGGTCACCGATATAAAAATTCCGAGATATACATTTTATAGATAATGTTGCTCTTATCAACCGCAGAAAGTTTCAAGGCAATCGATCAATCGGTGTAGCTATGGCGAGCTACATTATTTTTTCTGAGGTGAGGTCACTTGGCGTGACCTGGTGACCTGACCTAGGGCGACCTGGGTCTGAAATTTGCACAACATGTGCGGAAAAGATGCCCGACCAGGTGGCGCCGTTTTTGAGATATCTGCGAAAAACCGCAGGAGAAAACCGTGTTCAACCCCCCCCCCCCCCCCCGGCCCGGCGCGGGTTAATAAGTCTTATCAGTTATCACTGCTTAAATATTTTTGTCACGGCAAACACAGGAGAAACTGCGTGTCTACCACTCCTGACTGGCCGCAGAATCACAAATAATCATACCAGCAGATTGGAGGGTAGATACTGACCTTAGCCTGTTCGTTCATCCTCATTTCGAGCAGTTTGGCGCGTTTGCGCGGGTCGCTGGTATCGCCCAGCAGGTGCTCCGAGTGCAGGTGCTCCGTCGAGGAGACGGTGCGCCGCCGGGTCAGCGTCGGGTGCTACCGTGGTCAGGAGAACACGACGATCGGTCAGTAATTATTGAGGACACAAGAGACGGGTAAATCTAATGACAAATGGTTTAATCGAGCCAGAAAAGGTCAAATCAGCACCGACAAAGTTGTAAAAGATAATCAGGCGGAACCCAGTCACCGGCTGCATCTAAGAACACCTCGCCAGAATACGAAAACATATTTATGCACAAAACAGCCCGACGCCCCCGTCAACGCATCAATTCACGTCAAGCTCTCGGTCTTCCTACCGCCTGTTGATCCTCAGGTCACAATATGCAACCCCTAATTCTTACCTCATTCTCTCTCCCCAGTCACTATCTCCTCACCTGCGCGCTGCTGGGCCCGTCGATCTCGGAGAAGCCGATGCCGGCAGCCTCTTCCTCTTCCTCGCCGTCTACGTCAGTGAACGTGGTGAGCGTGTTGGCCAGCGCGGAGAGGTGGCGACCGATGTTGATGTCCACGTTGATGTCCACGCCCTCCATCTGCCACGAGACGTTCAACACCCATTTGGCGTCTTCTGTTGAAGGACGGAGGGAGGGGGGGGGGGGCGGGGGGTTGTTAGTGTACGGCGGCATACCGATAGGTAGAAGAGCTGCGTTTTCTTACCACAGCTGAACTAACTCCGACGATTGCGAAGATGATTTTTTCTTCATTTATCACAAAGACAAAAACGTTAGCGTAAAAATGTGACGCTACTGAATATAACGAGTTAATGATAGTGATACTTCATGAGATGCGACTGCGTCTGTGACAAAAGCTGCAGATCGCTAAGCAACATATGAACATCCCGATGATGACTGCCGCTGAGGTCACTGACCTGCCGAGGCTCGGTTCATGCCGACGGCGTGGCTGTGTCAGTAGCTCTGCTGTATAATAGTGACACTGACCAATGACTATGGCGGTAGCCTCTCTCCGTAACTGACCTGCCGAGGCTCGGTTCATGCCGACGATATGCTGTGTCAGTGGCTATATGTTAGTGACAGTGCCTAAGGCAGTTAGTCGCCCTCCATCACTGACCTGCCGACGCTCGGTTCATGCCGACGGTGTGGCTGCAGACCTCGTACGTCCCCTCGGAGACCACGCACAGGTTCATGATGGCCGGGTCCGCGGTGTCTGTACAACAGTGGAGGTATGCAGAGGTCAGTGAAGGGGTATCGAACGAGGCACGCACACAGCCAAAGAACACAGCCAGAAGAGACAGCTGCAGGCTCTATAGACAGGGATAGTCCCAATTTGTGCGGCACAGTACTACGCCGACTGCCATGTCAGTGATAAGTCTGGGCTTGCTTGTAATGAGCAACATAATGGTGGGCACTGGGCAGTAGGCTTGTTCAAAAAAACCGAATTTTGGAAAAGTATACGGGCTCATGGCTCATGTGGTGCGGTATTCTTTTCTCAGTCCAATGATGCCCTTTTTTCCGAAAAGTCTTACTGCTAGGCGCTGCTCAAACGGCTTAAAGAGGACCATGTTACGCCCGCCGACCGGCCGGTGTCAATAAGGGCGAGAACTCGACGCCGCGCGCCGGCGGCAGCGCCTTATCGGCACCGCGCGCCACGGCATCTGCCGGGCGGCCGGCTGGGCAGGGGGAAGTTACAAGCGCGTGGTCTTATTGCACACGATCGGGGTGAGCTATCCCATGTTTTCGGGGCGGAAAGTTTCAGTGCAGCATCGGTGCGGCTGCTGCGGTGGTCTGTGTCGATGGTACAGAAAATAAGTCAAACATAGCTGAGAAAAGACTGAATGATTCCGGTTAGTTGCCTCGAAACAATCCATTTCAAGAATACATTTGCCTTCTTAACGTACCGTATCACTTGTTAATTCCTTAAAAAGCAAACTCTGAGCAATAACAGACTTCTTTGCATTGCTGTTGACAATTCACGTTACTTTTGGACGGTGGCTCGCACGCCCAATATGCTGCCACGCATCTTAAATCTAACGGCGAAACGCGCAACTGTGCGAGAATCGAAAATTCACGATTTACGTACAGCAAGAGCAGCCTGGCAATGCACAAGAACAGAATATGGAGACCCGGAAGTCATCGGTCCAAGTTTGGGGGTGGGTTTGACGAGCATGGGCGTCACCAATGTCATTATGCAGATACGTTGATGTCAAATGCTGAAGCAACAGAATCGACGCCAGGTTTAACTTAGATTAGCAGGCCGAAATAAAACATAGCATGTCCGGGAATGACAGGTGGCCACCCTGACAGTGTGACGAAGTGAGACATGAGTAGAGACATTAGCCGGAGTACCTATAAAGCGCCGTTTATCCAATCCTTCGAGCATAAGCGACGCCGGCAGTCCGGCCAGGGCGGCCGTGCCCACCGATGCCGATCAAGACCCGAATCCAGACCCGGCATAGAACACAGCTCTGCCCTGACGTGACACATTACCCCGGTATGTCACTCATGACGGATAGACCAATGCAGGAGCCTTGCCAGCTCCTGTTGTACCTACTACGTTAAATTTTCGATTCTCGCTAAGTTGCCGTTTCGTCGTTGGAATAGAGTTACGCGGCAGCATATTGGAGCTGCGAGCCACCGTCCAAAAGCAACTTAAATTGTCAACAGCAATGCAAAGAAGTCTGTTATTGCTCAGAGCTTGCTTTTTGAAGAATTAAAAAGTGATACAGTACGTTAAGAAGGCAGCTGTATTCTTGAAACGGATTGTTTCGAGGCAACTATCCTGAATCGTTCAGTCTTTTCTGAGCTCTGTTTGAGTTATTTTCTGTACCATCGACACAGACCACCGCAGCAGCCGCACCGATGCTGCACTGAAACTTTCCGCCCCGAAAACATGGGATAGCTCACCCCGATCGTGTGCAATAAGACCACGCGCTTGTAACTTCCCCCTGCCCAGCCGGCCGCCCGGCAGATGCCGTGGCGCGCGGTGCCGATAAGGCGCTGCCGCCGGCGCGCGGCGTCGAGTTCTCGCCCTTATTGACACCGGCCGGTCGGCGGGCGTAACATGGTCCTCTTTAAGCCGTTTGAGCAGCGCCTAGCAGTAAGACTTTTCGGAAAAAAGGGTATCATTGGACTGAGAAAAGAATACCGCACCACATGAGCCATGAGCCCATATACTTTTCCAAAAATCGTTTTTTTTTTAACAACCCTACTGGGCAGTCACGTCATGCTAAACATAACTGGATCTGGGAGAGGTGATGCTTTAGCTTTTTTTGTGGATGGCGATATGAAATAGCCATGTTTTAACACAGGATCACGAAACGGAGAAACACTGACTTGGACTGAGAATAGCGATGTTTTAACACAGGATCACGAAACGGAGAAACACTGACTTGGTCTGAGCACAGCATTTGAGAGTGATCAGTGGGAGGCACACGGATGTCGGATGGTTTAGACTGATAACTAACCACAACACCTACTCAACTACATCGTGTTAGCGCATCATACAATGGATAGTAGTGGTTACAGACTAACGTGTCCACTAGCGATGTCAAATATTTCGCTAAACAAATCGGACACATTTTCAGACCGTCATGCTAGATGCCAGGTAAAAGCCTGACCACTTTTTGCTAGAAGTTGACGTTGAACAAGCCGAAGATTTGCATTTAGGGCGAAAGGCATGTCAAAATCAACTGAACCGATTTCAGTGTGACGTGCCCGGAATAAATTCGATAAAATAGACGAAAAAAGTGATAGCATCGATTCAGCGAGAAAACATGATAAAGCGGTCGCTGTGCAAAGGTATGCACAGCTTCGTAGATCGTAAATAATTTCCTGTGAACAATATTATTACAATGTACTGTGAACAATTGTATCAAAGCAAAGTAAGAGGGGTTGCAGTTAATGCACGATCACATTTTAGCGAAAGTGATGTTCAAATAGGCATGGCATCAGCGCTGGCGAGTACGCACGGCACACAAGCATGCAGTGCGGGGAGACGACACGGATGCTCTCACACACAACAGCTGAGACTTTTCCAGTACATACCACTCTGAGCCGGCTGATATAAGCCCTCTGCCAACAACCGCGTCCATTGTCATAAGACAGTTTTAGCTTCTAGAATGCCAGTCTTGCAACAACTGGCTTCACGTAAAAATTGTCGGCTTGAAAAAGCCAAGGAACGCGATAATTTTGAGAATTGCACACCAAAACCACATTTTATTGGCCACGTAAATGAAAAAGTTCGCGACATTCCAGTAGGTTTTCGCACATAACTTTAGAGTAACTACTAATTAGAGTATTCACGCCTTCAACCACACAGGCATCCGAAAACGTTGTGCGAGCCAGTGACCTCCACCACATTTAACTGAAAACCCAACTCCTAACCCGCCTGGCTCGACCGGTTAGAGCTTCCCAGCCCTTCACTCGTCACTCACCTGGCTTCCAGTCGTCCAGACTCGTCTCAAAGTCGGTGGCGAAGCGCAAACAGAATCCGGTGAACCTTCCGCTGCAGATGAGCGAGTCACAGGTCATGGCCGAGACGGCCGTTTCTTCGAGCGTGAGCACCAGGGCGTCCCGAGAGTCGGCGTCAGTGACCATCTGGCCGCCGCCCATCTGTCGAAGAGAGGGGGAGAGGGGGTGATGGGCGTCACAAGAGTTGGCGTCAGTCACCATCTGGCCGCCGCCCATCTGTACGAGAGAGAAGGGTGGTCATGGGCGTCATGGGAATCGGCGTCAGTCACCATCTGGCCACCGCCCATCTGTGTAAGAGAGAGGGAGAGAGGGGTGGTGATGGGCGTCAGGGGAATCGGCGTCAGTCACCATCTGGCCGCCGCCCATCTGTATGAGTCAAGGAGAAGAAGGTAAGTGACAGCTTTTGGAAGGAAAAAGGGTGTTGGCAGAAGTTCAGGGTGAGAAGTTTGTAAGGTTGATGACAGTTCGCAAGCCACGTAACTGGTGATTCAATCTAGGCAGGCGAGATAGCTGGTGAAGAAACATATTTATCTCGGAACGTTTCTATTTGCAGCTCTGTTTGAAGACAGTTATGTTTAACAATTTTGTCTCCCCACTAACCATTGAGTGTGTGTTGATGGGCAGGCAGATGCCGAGGTCGTCCACAGTGACCTGCAGGAACAGCGTCGAACGCAGCGTGTTGACGTTGATGTGACTGATGTGGGGCACCTTGTCCAGCACCTGCCGGCCAAGAGAGAAGGGCGAACGTCAGAGGCTCAGAGCATCATGTTCCGTCACCAAGTCCACATTAGTCTCTTCTATATTGCCTAATCCGAACGCCCGTTTTTCTTCACCCTTCGCCGGTTATATCAGGGGCATGGTGGCGTATGCTAGGGTAGGAAATCACATTTGAGAAGCGAATTTCTCATAATCAGCATGAAATATTTCATTCCACCTATAGAAACCCCAAATGAGACATCATTCGACATTCGACATTGATCTTCCACTTACCACAGACTCCACTTACCACAGACTCCACTTACCACACTCACACACTACCCTGTTTCCCACCGACCCACCAGGCTATAAGTGCCTTCATGCACTAACCTGTTGAGTCGCGGTGAGCACCTCCCGGTTCAGCGTCCGTCTCTGCTCGCTCCAGTAATCGTACGCGTTTCTGTAGTTGAGCCACACCAGAATGGCCTTATCGACAGCCATCGGCTGTACGTAGACGAGCGGCCGGCGCAGGGCGATTAGTACCACCTCCTTGTCGGCCTGGGTGACCGGCGCCGGCCCGTCCGCGTGAAACGAGTTACTCAGACCTGCCGAAACACGCGGAGTGGGTGGGGCTAGTCAGACCGGAGAGGGGTCAGGGAGGAGTAAGAGGGTGCTATATTATTTTAATGACGGGCCGGCTTCCTCAGAGCTAATCAGAGCGTAATTTTCATCTTATTTTACTTTACAAGGTTACCATGAGAGTAAAGATCAGCGTCATTAGACCTTGCGGCTTGCGGTATATTGCTGTCTATTTGTGAACACAAAAGGCAGCTTGGATTAGCATCTGAATGTGCTACATATCAGTACAAACATTGCAAATAACTATAAAACACTTCTAGTTTATGTTGGTGAGCAGCGACTGGGACACTACGAAACCTCCGACCCGGAGTACAAACTTTACCACCACACAATACGGCAGCCACCGAACCCTGTCACTCGTAGCGCTTTAACTCACCGATTTGCGTTTTGAAGTAGGCGTACTGGTGAAACTCGGGGTCGGCCTCCTCGAACACCACGTTCCGGATGAGCTGTCCGAGACTGACGTTCAGCCTCAGCTCCGCTCGGCCGTACAGACGTGAGAGCGGCACGGCGCGGGCCTGCTCCGTGCCCAGACGCTGGTACCTGGACGGAGGCGCAGGAAACGGTCAGCAGGTCATACAACCTATACAGAGGGAGATCGGCCCAGTGGAACTGGCGAATAGGCACTTGAATATTATGTCTAGCATGAGCAAACACTTAGGACCCATGCAAACATCAGAGAGGTTACAACTTTTACTAGTATGTAAAATGTATGAGAGGGTTGAACATAATTTAACTGCAACCGATAACACATCGTATATAAAAGCTGATCTTGTATTTCGGAGCGGTAAAAGAAACTACAAACACATATTAGACAAGTTTCTGGTTCCCATCACCCTGACTGCTAAACAGCAAGACTATGCTTCCGTTTCTTCACCCAAAAGGTCTACCTTCTCCCTGCCCTGTATCATCCCTAGTCCTATGCTGACTAGCCACTGCTGTCCCACCACACCCCATCAACCATCCCTCTTTTCAGCTGACCTGTTGCTCAGTCTCAGCTCGGTCAGTCCCGTCTCCAGTCTGACGGCGTAGTTTGTCGGCGTGGTGGCCGTGATCTGTATGCCGCGGAACGTCAGCCGCAGGCTGTAGAGCACCGGCCGCTTGGAGGGCGGCGGCGGCGGGCGCTCCTCGGGCGCGTCATCCTCCCCCAGCAGCTGCGACTTGAACTTGTCCAGGCCGGCCATCTTCTGGACCACGTCGTTCACCTCCTGTGGAAGGAGAGACGGGAGGAGGAAAGGTCATGAGGGGTGACGACGACGAGAATACGGAAACGACGAGAAAGCTTGAAGAGAGCTCGACGGAGGAGAGCAAACTGAGAGGACAGTCGTCCCAGTTTACGTCATCCGATCGTGGTGATCGGGAAACGTGTTCCGTTCCGAGCACTCCTCAGCTATCAGGGCTCTTCATCTCGCCCTCGCTTCCTCGTCTTCTTCCAGAGTCTTGCAGCGATGAGTAGAAGAGTGTGGAAGCGAGGGCGAGATGAAGAGTCCTGGTAGCTGGGGAGTGCTCGGAACGGAACACGTTTCCCGATCACCACGATCGGATGACGTAAACTAGGACGACCGTCCTCTCAGTTTACAAGCCCGCGCGACTCACCATCATGAACACCTTCTGTACAAAGACGAGGTGGTTGAGCAGGTCGGTCGAGAGCGTGTGTTCGAGGGCGCCGATCTCTGCCTCGGTGCTGAAGTAGCTGCCCTGACAGACCTCGACACCATCCGGCACCGGCCCCGGTTCCACCTCCTCCTGCATGTAGTCGGCCGATATGTGCACCTGGAGGGACGGGAGAAGAGTGTCAGGAAAGGCCGGTAAGTAAAGGCTGACGATTGACGAAGGACTAGAGTTCATGTAGTCCGCCGTTATGTGCAGTAGCGGCGGAGCACCTTCAATTAAGGGGGGAGGGGGGGGGGGGGCACTGCCGACTTTTGGTCCCATTCTTTCCCTGCAACGCCCATAGGGCTAATGTTAAAATGCCAAAATCAAAGGGGGGCACGGTGTCCCGGTGCCCTCCCCGTTCCGCCGCCTATGGTTATGTGCGCATGAGAGAGGGACAGAGTCAGAATATGGTAGAGGCTATCCCTGTCTCCTGCCGTGGGCCGCCTGAGGCCATTCATGCTCTGCAATTTGCATTGCTGCATGCATGATGAATAATGCAACATATAAATGAGTCTGACGTCATTCATGCAACATCAGCATCAGCATCGAGGCCACTATCAGTCAGTAGCATTTAATCGCCTCACCCACCTCCATGTCAGAATGGCCGAGTGGTCTAAGGCGCCAGACTCAAGGTTCACCTTCCCGCCGGTAGCGGGCGAGCATTCTGGTCCGCGAATGCGGGCGTGGGTTCGAACCCCACTTCTGACAGATGATTTTGGTTTGCTCATTTTTCTACGCAAACCACTCCACAAACCAGTTACTATAGCATTCCTCCCCTTCACAAAATAGTCAAACTCTAGTGTCTGAATGCTTCGAACTGCTCATCACGAAGCTAGCCCCGTTGGGGAGAAGGGAAGTAATGCTTGTCGCAGCGCCACTCGACCCACAAAACCAAACTAACTCGAGCGCCACCTGGCACAGAACTCGCAACACCCCTCCCCCAACACGATCCCATCATTCGTGCCACCCAGTTCTCACCCGCGGCAGCGCCACGGAGGCCGACGACGGCAGATTCTGATCCTCCACCCTGGTTCGGAAACTCAGGTCGTGTTTAGCCAGGTCGATGGTGAACTTGGCCTTGGAGCCGGTGACGCCCATACTGGTGACCGTGTCCATCTTGTACTGGGCCTGCAGCGATGGCAGCAGCGCCGCCGTGATGGACAGACTCTGCCAGGGTGACGGGAGAGAAAGGTTAGATACGGAACGGGTGTGGGCAGATGGGCGCTATCCACAGCACTGTGATGCATACTCTTTGTAACCCCCGAGACGTTAGACCAAGACGTTCAAATCTGCCATTCGATAATAAAACTCGTCATTGTAAAACCCAGGCACATACTTCAACGGCTTATAGTTCAAGACAGGCCGACTGTCACACTCATTCTGAATATCACTTAAAACCAAGCAGCCTTACCACTTCTTCGGCCTCCCGTGATTCCACCCTCCATATTATCCCCAGTCACTCCGCAAAGCCTTCCTTCATGGACCACCAGAAGGTACGGAAACCCACTGACCCTCCCCCTGAGCACCTGCAACTCCACTTCAATTTCCCCACCTGCAGCACGATGCTGAAATGGACCGCCAGCGGGTGCAGTAGCCGCTCGGCGGGCGGCACCGAGCCGCCGGTGAGGTCCCGCGCCAGCCGATCCCTGTGTCTACCCAGCTGCGACGGCGGAGTGTCCAGGTCCTCGATTGTGAACGTGCTGGCGCGGACCAGACGGCCCGAGCGGCTGTGGCGCAGCTCCTGTGGTAGGATGGGGAGGGTCAGATTTGAGAGCGGACTCGAGAGGGCGACGAGCGAGCGACCAGATCAGACAGAGAGGGCGAGAGTTCGTTGGTTGGAAGGCTTCAGACAGGGTTGTAATCACATGAGACGGAAATGAGGCGGAAGCAGAGGGACGGAGTCGCAGGTTGACAGAACTAGCACTGTTAAAAAAAATACTGACGGGAGAAAATACTGAAGACCACACAGTATACCATAAGTATCGTCAAAAAAGGTAGGTCAGCCCTTGAAGGTCAGCTTCAAAAGCTAACAAAGACCACAAGGCCATCATCCTCTCCCTGCAGCACAGACTTCCTCACTGAGCCACCCCCTTGATCCCACACACACCAACCCGCCTGACCTTGAGCGTGTTGGAGAGGTGGGCACTGCTGCGGGTGACCATGCTGTGCAGCGCCACAGGGTGCTGTGGGATGTCGATGGTGATGTTACCGATGGTCACCAGGGCTGAGTTTCGCTCGCGCGCCGCCCTCTTCTGCGCCTCGGTAGAGTAGAGACACTGAGACTTGGCCACCGTCATACTGACCACCGTCCTGCGAGAAAAGGGCAGGAGATCACAAGAGCTGATCGAAATGGAGGCATGAAAAAAAAATGGTTGAGTTCACATTACGGCATGACGTAGCCAGCGACAGAAACGTGATTGCAGGATTGCATGAGGAAAGCCACCTAAGCTGGTGAAACTAATTTTTAGCCGGACATCGCAATCATAGGTTTAATACCACCGTCAGAAATGATTTTTTTTTGTAAATAAATCACGCAAAATGTTCACACCTCTCCCATCCCAACATCATGCCTCTCTCACTCACTGGGAGGTCCTGACGAGTTGCTCCTGCAGTACCCTTCTCCCTTTCCTCCCTATCGCCTTTCCTCCCTATCCCTCTCCCCTTCCTGCCCTTCCACTCACTCTGACGCCCTGGCGAGCTGCTCCTGCAGTGCCCCTCTCCCCTCCTCTCCCCTTCCTCTTTCCACTCTCCTCCCTCCCTCACTCACTGTAACGTCCTGGCGAGCTGCTCCGGCTGCAGTATCCCTCTCCCCTTCCTCCCTCTCCCCACCCTAATCCCCGGCCTTCCCTCTCTCACTCACTGTGACGCCCTGGCGAGCTGCTCCTGCAGTACCCGGCCTCTCCCCCTCCTCTTCCTCTTCCCTCTCTCACTCACTGTGACGCCCTGGCGAGCTGCTCCTGCAGCGCCACCTGCACCCCTCCCAGGTGTCCCGTCAGTGAGGTCTGGTGGCCGCGCCGGCCGGCCCGGCTGTAGTGTCGGCCCGTGAGTGACGCCTGCACCTCTCGCACCTCGGCCTCCAATCTCAGACCGCTCAGAGAGGCCTCCACTAGGGTTCGGCGCACCTTGGCGACCCCGAACACTAGCAGAGGGGTGAGCTCTCGGCTAGACAGGCCTGTGTGGAGAGAACGGGCAATATGATAGAGCGAGAAGGGCAGCATAAGACAACGGCGAGAGCTGGTAAGGTAAGATCGCTGGAAACTTAAGATCCATGGAATGACGTCAGCTTTTTCAAAGGATATGGTTGAATGAGACTAGTCAGGTTATTGTTCGCAACTTAACCCTAGAACGCCTAGGGGGGGGGGGGTTATCAACCCCCCCCCCCCCCTGAGGTTTTTTCGAAGTGCACGCTAAACGGCTTGTCGTAGCGGGCCGAAATTTTCAATACCCTCTGGGGCAACCTTTGCGCATCTTTTGCCGAAAAAAATTGATCGGGTCATGTCAGGTCACGGAGTTATGACGTCATAAGAGGTACAGCCTCCGGCCGACAGTTACCAAACGTGTGCGCCGAATCCCTAGGTTTTCTGCCGGTGATACCCACATTGTTTGATGGATCATGATGAAACTTCCCATGCATGTTGGGGCAAGCATTGGCTATCGTGTGGTGCAAGAAAATTGACCGGGTCAGGTCAGGTCACGGAGCTATGACGTCACAAGAGGAACAGCGTCCGGTACTATTTTTGAAAAGCGCCCGAACCACTATTTTGCTAATTCTTGTCACCTCAATGGGAATATGCAGCAATATTAGCTTCTATAGGGAGCAAATGGACCTCCCAAATCCAAAAATACAATCAGATTTCAAAAAATTAAATTTTGATTTTTCGAATTTCTGCCGCCGACTGTGACCTTGCCGACTTCCGGCGCTCCCAACGCGCCATTTTTAGAGCTAGGGAAACGAAATACATACCAAACGATAGAGAATTGATCAAGGAACACGATAGTGAAGGTTTCAAGTCGATATCTCCCACCGTTTTGCCGCAATCGCCGCGGAAAGTTGAAAAAGTTTGATTTTTTTCGGAAAATTTGACCTTTGACCGGTCATAAGTAGGTCAAATGTTGACCTAGGACCAAAAAATATACCACCAATCGCGAGATCTCGTTGAGAGCAATCCGTTGGTTTTTTTCCGCTAAGCTCTACGACCTTCCGTTTCGAAACGCCAGGGGGGGGTCGTAACAACCCCCCCCCCCCCCCCCCCCGGTCGTTCGTGTTATGAGAAATGGCCTGGTCGTGCGAGGGTTAACAAGTGAAAGCTACTTGTCAATGAAAACATGTTGAGACGCACAGCTGAACACTATTGATCGATAAAACAAGAGTCTTTCGTCACCAAACCGCAGCACATCCCCTGAATATCATCTATCTGTCCCAATCCACGTACGCTGATCGGTGGTCTTCCTCGCCGTGTTGGGCGGCGGCGGAGGCGGCGGCGGTGGCGGGGGCGGCTGGCCGGGCTGCAGCGGCGGCGTGGGTGCCGACTGGGGTCGCGGCATGTCTGCTGAGTCCTGCAGACCCGCCTCGGCGTCATCGGCGGCCGACTCTCTGAGCACCTCGTACTTGCCAGTGCCGCGGTACGGGTCCGGCGAGTGCTCGTGGATGGTGGCCAGGCGGCAGCTGGAAGAAACGCGATGAGAGAGAAACGGTGTGCGTGAGTCAGTGCAGCTGGTCACATTCCCTAAATCATTTCGAGGGCAGGATATAGGTTGACAACTATCATCATAAATCACGGATCACGTTTATTAGCAAAATAAAAATAAAAAACTTGCAAATGAACCATAGTCTACCATGAATTAGGCCTCAGGACAAAGTCCCCAAGAGCCACCGACAAATAAAACCAGAACACTGGTAAATAACAAGCGCAACACTGCAGCTCTCTTACACCCAGACTCCGAGTATTTCACCTGACATGTCCTGTCTTTCAGCCGCTACCCTCCCTCCCTCTCGTCTCCTCACCTGTTGCGGACGGTCTTGGTCTCCGGTACGATGGCGTACAGTTTGAGCAGGTGATAGACGGTGCGCCAGCAGCGCGGCGTCTCGGGTCGCTCCTCCGGCCGGTCCGGGGAGGACGAGCTGTGACCCGTCTCCAACGAGCTCTGACCTGAGCACAGGGGAGGGCGGGGTGAGTGTCTGGGGTTCGTCCGGGGAGGACGAACTGTGACCCGTCTTCAGCGAGCTCTGACCTGAGATCAGAGCGGGTTAAGGTGAAGGCGGGAAATTTGAGATTGCTGGGAGCGAGGCAATGAGTGGGGAATGAGGTCAGAAGGAAACAATCAGCAAACGATATTGCAGCCATGGGAGCTGGGACGGACTAATTAACCCTCGCCCGCACATGCCATTTTCCCATCCTAGAACGCACATGGGGGGGGGGGGGGTGGTTGCCACCCCCCCCGCGCCATTTCGTTCCTGTTGGAGATAGAGCTTAGCGGTAAAGACCAAAAAGATTCTTTGGGAAGAGACGAATCCAATGATACCCAGTTTTACCTTCTCAGGTCAGTCATTGACCTTCCAGGTCAGGTCAAACTAAAAAATGTTGCTGTTTTGGGTCACCGTTGGATATCAAGTGCGCTGCTTATCAAATACCGATGACGATGCTGTTTTCTGGTGCCAAGCCAGCTAGAACCTCTTTGTCACACTACCCGACCAGAATTTTGCTGCTGAGGTCATTTCAGGTCAAGTTAGGTCAAGGTCAATTATATGTGTTTGTATGTCTGTGTGTGTCTGTGTGTATACTGATGTGTGCACCGATTGTTTTGGGTCCATATTACATGAAATCATGATCTGAGAAGCTTTTACCAAAAATGCAGTCAAAAAACTTCACAAAAAGTAAATTCAGCTTGCCTAAAACGCAATTATCTTAGATGACCTAGGTTGACCTTGACCCTGACCTTGACCCCTGTACATCGTCGAACAACATGTTCCATGATAGGTGGGAGGTAAGACTGGCAAAAAAGGCCGAAATCAGGGTGTCAAAAGCTCACAAGGCCCATGGCAGGCGCAAGATGTTGAGAATTGGCCATTTGGGTCATGACATGACCTGAAAAACAAGGTCATATCTCCGAAACCAAAAATCACAGAAACTTGAAATTTTCAGTGGACCTCAAGAAAGGATAGAGGAGCAGCTATACGAAAAATCAGCCTTCTAGCTCTAAAAATGTAGAGTGCAGAGCAGAAAGACTACCTGGGGGGGGGGGGTGGCAACCACCCCCCCCCCCCCATGTGCGGGCGAGGGTTAAGTCCATATCTGTCCATGATAGCCTTCTTACCATATTCATTGATGTTCCTGACAACCCAATACTCTGACCGTTGCTGCCCTATAGTCTCCACCACCCAGCTGCCCTGCCCTTGCCTGTTGCTGTTTCCTCTTACCTTGACCGTGACTGTCCCTAGCCGACCCCTGCTCGGCCGAGGAGCGGGCGTGCAGCTGCAGCGGCGCCGGTGGAAACTTGAATAGCGAGCCGTCCGAACCGCTGTGACCTCCGGCAGAGAGGGGCACAGCCAGCGGGTCATCGTGCAGCTCCGGCGACTTGAGGTCGGGCACCTCCGAGCCTGCGGAGAGTGGGAGAGGGCACGGACGGTGAGGGAACTGGCGCGACGGTAACGTCTACAGAATGTCCAGGGTCTGTTTAGTAAAAAATTATAAGCCGAGCCAGGAGCCTGAAAAAAGAACGAAAAAGGAACAGACCCCCACTGCAATACTCGAAGTAATCGTAAATAAGAAACAATTTAGTATGGAGTCCAAAAAAGCAGGAGTCACTCGCATATTCAAGCAAAGGCACATGCCACACTTCCGTGCTCTCAAGGAAAACACCTTGCTGCACACTTGTCTCCCCATTCCTCGACTACATAACTACAGGCGCCTCGCGGCGCCTGTTAAGACTACTAACCTCCTGAGTGCTGATTAACTGTGTGGGTGGGTGGGTGGGGTGGGGGGGGGGGGGGTATGTATCTTTTTGTCGCATGACGATGCTGAATAAACAATAATAATAATAATAATATTATTCCTCATCTAGACAGGTTAACTCTCTTACACCCTGAGCTGAGGATGAAAGAACCTCGGGTGCTTTTACCAGAGGTGAGATGTCGTATTATTGTATTAACATTAAATGTCCGTCCGTGTTCCAACAGTTTTTCAGGACATTTTAAACATAGTAGAGTTGTACACGGCAGTAATGTAAACACAAATTCTCACACAGATGTACACGGCAAGGTGCCAACGTACGGTAACATACACTACATGGCGCACAGCAAGGCACAGAGTACACACTACACATTACACAGTATACGCGATCCGTGATACTATCCCTGAGCAAGTGAGCTGGTATGGTTCACGCGTTTTTGCACCTAAGTTTTTTCCTGAATTCTTTTTCTGACGCTGTTTGTGTAGTTTCTATTGGAAGTCGATTCCATTCAGTTGCGGCTCGGTACGGGAAAGATCGTTGTGTCATAGACAGACGCACTTTTGGAAGGTGGAGCCGATTGGTACATGCCAGGCGGGATGTCCTGAGGAGCCCTCTCACCTGAGGACGAGTCATTCTTGCGGTGCCTTCCACGCCGACTGGCCTTTCTCAGACGCTCGGCGCGCAGACCGTGCTGGGTCTCTCGGGCGTTCCAGTAGACACTGGCCATCTGGTTCACCAGGCGCAGCAGTGGCATGTTCACCTGCTCGTCAGGGAAGAGTGGAAAAGGGTGAACGAAAGGAACAGCTGAGGGAACGATGGTCTAAGACGGGTGATTGGTGGGTTAAGAATGGTGGGCGATAGAAAAATAGGCTTAAACAATAGAAAAGCGGCATGGCATGACCGATCGAGAAGTGTCCATGATAGAATGTGACGGCAAGCTTGTGCTCTGACACGATGAAACTGTATGGGCTGACACATGCGTCTTACATCACTATAAGGTAGACGAACTCAGCTGAACAGCCGTCCCTTGTTCGTCAACTTCCATGAAACCAGCAGAGCCTCCTCTCCCGCTCCCCAGCCCAACACACCTTGAGCGCCAGTGAGTCGGCACACACGGTGAAGTTGACCACGGCCTGGGTGTGCCGTTTGAGTTGCCGGCGGGTGACGAAGGCGTTCGGCTGTCGCTGGATCCACTCGCCGACAGCCGTGTCGGCCACATGTCTGAGGTCCAGTTCCACCCGTCCGCCGCGCAGGATAAACGCCGGCTCGGTGGACAGCTGCGCCGGCGCCCGGCCTGGAGAGCGGAGCGAGCGGGGTTAGGTGGCTCAGAGAGGGGGAGGGAGGGAGGGATAGGAAAAGGGGGAGGGGAGGGAGGGAGGGAGGGAGAGAGAGGGGGAGGGAGAGAGAGAGAGAGAGAGAGAGAGAGAGAGAGAGAGAGAGAGAGAGAGAGAGAGAGAGAGAGAGAAAGAGAGAGAGAGAGAGAGAGAGAGAAGAGAGAGAGAGAGATATGGGAGTAATAGGTGAGGAGGGGGAGAGATAAGAGATCAAAGAAATAACTCGAAGAGCATATTTCCTCTTCCCCAAGCAGTTCATGACTCCATGAGCATTCAGCACGAGCGAAGTAGAGCTCAAAGCTTAATTCTGCAGCTCGCCCCAAACATTGATGTAAAACTTTACACCTAAATCACAACTGAGCGCTGAACTTTACGCCGAACATTGGCCGGCCGATCAGCTGCGTTCCCCACCTCGGCGCGGCTTGGCTCCGTTGCTGCTCTCCGATATGTCGATCCTCAGAGACTGCAGGCTGGAGACCAGGTTCACAGAGTTGCCCAGCTGACGAAGAATCGTGTCACCGCCGAGCACCTCGCTAAGAACACCTGACGAACGCGGCCAGAGTCAACGGTGACGACAACATCAACAGTATGGAAACACGAATACAAGTAAGCTTTGACTAAATGTATTGCACAAAAGAGGGCTCTGAATCGTGGCCTCCCGGCCTTACTTAAAAATGGGTTTGAAGTTTCCAGAAATTGGATACGGAAGACAGGGTGCCTCAAACGTAGATCTCGAATTCTTTAACCGGCGCTCTGCTGGGGAGGGATGTTTGAACACTCCTCTGGGGTATTTCGATCTCAGAACACAGATCTCAGAATCCATGTGTCTTTTCTGCACAAATGAAAACTTCAGATTCAGGTCTTTCAGATTCAGGTCACCAGACTACGTCCAGTGACCTTACATCAGGAAAAGTTATAATCCACGTTGTAGCATTAACCCGCGCCTGGTAGGGGGAGCCAAAACGCCCCCTCCCCTCCCCCTGTCCTTTTCCGTTGACATCTCCTAAACTACTGCAGATATCGTCACCAAACTTTCTGGACCCCTCCGGGCATTAATTTTACACATTGTGAACAAAAAATTTCTGGAGGCTATGATATGTTGGTCGCAAATGACGTTTCTAGTGACGAGGCGCCCTTGGAGCTCTCCTAAGTCCCTAACTGTCCCGATGCCCAGTTCTGGCCCAACATCAGCTCGGAGGTGCCGCACTGTCGAGACGGTGATGAATCCGCTCGGGATTCTCGTTTGGGGCATATACAATACAATACAATACAATACAATACGATGGGCTACAGAGACCTCTCTGTGGTTCACCGGGTGCCGCAGGGACAGGCCGTGATCGCCGATAACTTGTCAGCGAGGTGATGGAGAACACTGACACAACTACGGTGCAGCAGGGAAAGGAAAATAGTTCACAAACCAAAGCCAAACTTTTGCCAGACATGCCCAGAGACATTTTCCAACAAAAATATCTGGCTCATCACGCTAGGAACGACCAGGACTGATGCTGAGCGAAGTAGGTATCTTAGCCTCTGAGAGGAGGGGACATGGCCTGGCAATAGTTCAGACATGTCCATGATCGAAAACCTCTTAGTGGTGGTCAAACAAGAGCTCAGCAAGCTACCGCCCGCCAGCTAGGACTATTCCAGAACGCGTGAGCGGCATGGTGGAGTCTCGAAGGAGACTCTCGACAACCTGATGTGTGACATACCAGAGCGCCTAAGGCATTGTATGCGGCTAAGGAAGGACTATAATAGTAAATAAATCATGACATAAGTTCCAGTTGTTTATAATTTATTAAGCATAAGCCATAAAGCAACCGCGCATCAATTTCGGGGCACCCTGTACCTAAGCCTCTCAAAAGCCTTACAGGCCGTGCCGAGAAGTTCATGCTAAGACGTTTCCGTTATAGCAAAACAAAGGTCGCATCGCTTTCTTCGCTCGTTCGCTCGTAATGAAGTCCTCCTCACAATTAAACGCATACAAAAACATCACGTTCTTTGGAGGGCCTAATTTTCATTTTTCGCGTTCTTTCATCATGAGGACTTGCTATCCTCGATTAAGGTCAATGACCTAACACCACATGGGTTATTGGCCACACGGTAACATGGGCCCAAGCCTGTAAGTAGTCCTAATTTATTACCTCATATTGTTCTAGTGATATTGGGCCCAATGCACAGTACAAATTTTGCAAGGGCTAAAAACTGACAAATCAAAGTACCTAAAGAAACGTGAAAACATGGAATTGTTGGTCTAGTCCCCAAGTACTTACACCAAGTAAACAAAGTTCTTTTCAAGTTCTTGAGAAGGATTTGCAACAAGAATCATCAACGTACAAGAAATTCCCTAGCGATATATTCATAGTGAATGTTAGAGGCGTAAAAACCTTCAAAAAGATGGAATCGCTCCTTTTGCGAATGACTTCATTTTTCTTACTAACGGTACTGATTAGGAAAGCATCCAGCTTATCCACCCTAGAGAGCTATCTTTACCAACTTTCTGACAAGCGGAACGAATCATTTTACCTTACGATATTGCATCAAAACGACATTCATAGCCATTTTGGTTTGATAAGTAGGTACGGTTATAAATGCGTTGACCCCAAACGGAAAACCTGCTACGGTGGATTTTCAAGAGCGGTGCACTACGTGAAGGACATAATCGAAAACGATCAATTCTCGAAGAATCTCCTCATCGTGAGCTCCGGCGACTTTTTCAAGGGTAACCAGTACTACTCAGAGTTTAAATGGCAACTCATTGTAGACATGATCCAGCACATGCCGTACACAGCGCTCACGCTAGGGGACGCCGAGTTCACGGACGGTATCGACGGTCTGGTGCCGTTTCTGCGCGCCATCGGCGAGATATTCGTCTGCACCAACATTGACTTTAGCGGCGTCGCCAACGTGACGCTGCAAGAGGAGCTGCGCCGCCTCTGTCCCAGGCACCGCATTGTCTCCTACGATAGCCTGCTTGGCCCGCGGCATGTATGCCTACTCGGCTACACCACCCCGCTGACACAGAAGTTGATGTTCGACAAGTGGGCTCACTTCGAAAACGAGGAGGAGGCGCTGACGCGTGAGATCAAGCAGCTGCGCGCTGCCAGACCCGAGGTCAAAATATTCGTAGCACTCGGTCACTCCGGCTACGAGCGTGACAAGCAGATCGCCCACCGCGTGCCCAGTCTGGACGTCATCATTGGCGGGCACTCGCACACCCTTCTGTGGCCCAACATCCGCAATAGGCAGGTGGCAGGCGTGCCGGACGACCCTCACGACCAGCAGTTTGCCAAGGACGTCTACCCGACCACGGTCATCCAGCCCAGCGGCCGGGTGGTGCTCATCGCGCAAATGTACAAACACGGCAAGTACCTGGGCGTGCTCAACGTCACATTCAACGCCGATGACGAGGTGACCGACTTCTATACGGGGCCCGTGCTGCTCACCGACGAAATGCCTGCCGACGCCGAGACAGAAAAGTCGCTCGACAAGTATCGCCAGGAGATGCGCCGACGGCAGCAGCAGGTGATCGGTAGCACACGGGTCGAGCTGGTCGGCAGCGTCCAGGAATGCACCTACACAGAGTGTAACCTCGGAAACCTAATGACAGACGCAATGTTGTGGCATGTGCGTCACTACGGCACCGGCATGCCTCATACGTTAGCGGCGGTCGTAAACGCCGGCGCCATCAAGCGAGGTATCAAGCCGGGCAAGTTTAAAATGGCCGACATTACAGCATCGCTGCCCTACCCGGATACTCTAAACATCGTCAAAGTCAGAGGCTCCACCGTCCGGAAAATGCTCGAGCACAGTCTCGATGAGAACAAGGAAGGCATTTTTCTACAGATCTCCGGCATGCGCGTGCGTTACAACATGACCAAACCATTAGGCGAGAGAGTCGTTTCAGTGCGCATCTTATGCCAGACTTGTGTGACACCAGAATATGAGCCGCTCAACGATACGGCCATCTACCACATCGCCATGTTCACGTTCCTAGCCGTGGGCAACGACGGCTTCACCATGCTCAAGCAAGAGATGCTTTCGTCGCAGCGGCGGCATGACGTCAGTCTCGAGATCGTCCTCACCTATGTACGTCGCTTCTCGCCGCTTCACCCCTACTTGGACGGCAGGATTGAGATCGTGACAGAGCCGGTGTTGAACAACACGGCTACCCAGCAATACAGCTCCCGGACCATGTGGGTGGTGGCGGTCGCGGCCGGCGGCGCCGTGCTCTTGGCCATGCTACTCGTGTAGCGGTGAGAGTTCGGTACAGCATGATGCACACTGCACAGTGCGATGAGACCGGGACGAAGGGTGGTGTTATCCTATGTTAGGATTCGCCTGATGTGTGTCCACTTGCCCAAATCGCCCGCGCGCATTTGGTGTGCCTTGATAGGCAATCGAGGCGAATGCAGACACTGTCTATCTGATGTTAAGTCTTCAGCCGTGAGTTGTTCGTTCATGTCGAATGCGGTTTCCTTTGTGTTCTTAGTGAGGCAGTCCGATTCTTCAGGTACATTCGGTGCTGCCACTGTTGTCCAATGTCTATTGTTTGATCGTTTCTTTTGGCTTGCAAACGGCAGTAATTACAGTGTTATTGTCCATCTCCGTGAAGTCAAATCCACCTGCGGAGGCGAGGGGCGGCTCGAAGGGCTGGTGCGCCTTCAGCACCTCCAGGCCGGAAGGCGGCGGAGGCTGGGATGACTAATGCGCTACCGTTCTACCAATGTGGCAATTTTCAGGCCGAAAATTCAACTTTCGCAGAAGCTAGAGGATCCTTGTAAAACACACACAAAAAACGGTTCCGCTCCAAGCATGCGCAGTTGGCACATAAAGGTAGGGGTCGGGAACCACAAAAGATATTGGTTCACGGAAGGTTGCGTTAAATAATAGCTTGCAAGTTTCACAACTGTGTCGCCTGCCGTCTCGCCCGCCCTGACAAATGATTTCGTGCATTTTTTTCTCCGGCACCACGTGGCACGTGGCAGTGTTGCCCATCGGCGTCGAATGGTGCCACGTCCGTCTACCCGTCTGGGCTCCAAAGCCTTATTACGAGCGAGCGAGCGCAGCGAGCGAAGCGAAGTCTTTTCAATATAACGGAAAAATCTCAGTATGAGCGGCCCGGCCCGGCCCGGCCTGTAACGCTTTTGAGAGGATTATATCTCAGCAACCGCTGGACCGATTGGCCTGAGGTCTTTTTTGCTGGGTAGCCCCATCCCTTCTACCCCGTAATTGACTACTCTTGACACATCTCAGTGACCGTCGTGGCACGTGCCATGTGAAAAGTCAAGGGTGTTCAAGCTGTTATGCAAAAGTAGTGATTTTGAGAGGCTCATATCTCAGCAGCGGCCGCTTGAGCGATTGTCTTGCGGTAATTTTTGTAGGGTAGCTGCATCCCTTCTACCAATGGTCGGTTACTCTTGATCTATGTGAGTGACCCCCACTGCACGTGCAAAATACAAAAAGAAGAGGTGCCAAATTTGTTCCCATTTCAATAACTCTGTAATTACTGGGGCGATTTCGCTGAAACTTGGCATACAGGTAGG